TACGTGCCTTCGACAACTTCATCTCCACCGATACGAGTTTCTACACCAGCGCCAACTTATCTACCACCATACGATCAGGAAATCCAAGTTTCTCAAGCTTCCGCTTCTTATGCATCAAGCATGGCATCGGCGATATCGTCCACCAATGCGGTGACCATAATTGGACCAGATGGATATAATCCTGTAACAACAACATCTGCACCATCTTATATGGCATATGCAAGTTCATACGGTTATTCAACACCAAGTCCTATTGCTGGTTACAGTTATCCAACCCCTGCACCTGCTCCAGCTCCTATACCTAGTTATCCTGCTCCGGCTCCTGCACCTAGTTATCCTGCTCCGGTTCCTATACCTAGTTATCCTGCTCCAGCTCCTGCACCTAGTTATCCTGCTCCGGTTCCTCCACCTACTTATCCCTCACCATCTCCTCCTGTTACTGTTGGTTATAATTATCCTGCCCCAGCACCCTCACCTAGTTATCCTACACCTACTTATCCAACACCTACGACTCCTGCATATGATTATTCTCCAATAGTTAGACCTACTTATCCTAGTTATCCAGCTCCAGCTCCAGCTCCAGCTCCAGCTCCAGCTCCAGCTCCAGCTCCAGCTCCAAGACCAATATATTCTTCACGACCTGGACCACGTTATCTACCTCCAATTGCTTAGATTAATTATTTTACACCGGAAATTATTTATCATTATCCAGTTGTTCAATTCAACTGGATAATGATCTGTTTGAACTCTGCAATCAATCTTTTTTTTTTGTCAGATAATTTTATCGTTATAGTTTATATTTAAAGTTTTATTATCAAATTATGTCAAACTATATTAAATAATAATTGCACACTATTTCTTTTCTGTTTATCCTGGAGCTGATTTGAATTAGATTTAATTTTTATGTACCATCTGTGATGAAATTGTGGATATTGTAAACCGTATGTATTTTTAAAATTATAATGTAGCATTTATATGATGTTTATATGTAATTGTGAGACATTTAATTTTGTTTATATCAATGTAGTATCTAATGTAATGAATATTTACGTAAGTTTAGTTGGATGTAATATATTTAATAAATTTTTTGTGTGCAATTTTATATATTGAATTTTGTATGGTAGAGTTAAGTTTAAATTTCTTGTAAGATATAATTTTTCTCTATTTATATTTAAAATATGTAACTATGCGATAATTTTAAATTGAAGTTATATTTTCCTTATATTAATATGAATGAATATGAATGAATATTAACATTAATATTTAAAAATATTTTTCTGTTAATACGCATTATGTGAAAGTAAAAATAAAAATTATATGATATTTTCTTTTTAATAATTAAAAGGAAAAATATTTTTAAATATTGCTATGTTCAAAAAATGCATAAAAATAAATATTAGTGAAGAAATTATGAAACAATTAAAGCAGATTAACCACGTATATACATTTATTAACAAAACCAAATTTATTTTTTAAATACAGTTTGTACGATATCAGCTAATGCGACTATAATGAATATCACAGCATTTTTCAGGTAGACATTCTATATGTCAGTCTCAGTAGCTTAAAATTATTAACTAACTAAATACTACGCTTACAATATATTTGAGTAAATGATGAGTACTCATCCCAGTTAATAAATCTCCATTTGAACTGGTATGTAGCTCGTATTAAACAAGCATATGTTTCCAAACCAAAACATAAGTTAATTCCGGGCTACATTTAATAGAACAGCCATAATCCAACATGTTAGCGTGTTATATCTAACAGGATATGACTATATACAATTATCTTTTATAATTATTTTTTTTAATTATTATTTTAATTATCCCGATCTACGATACAATAAATGAAAGTACATTAAAACAAACCAGTCCTTCTTAATGAAAACCGAATATAATTTCGCTAATTACTTATTATACTTATGACATTGACACGAATAATATCGAATTATGCACGAGTTTTCACATTTTTAATTTTACATTACAATATTGCAAATAAACGAAACATTTGATTATTTAAATAATTGATATGAATTTAACGTAATGGAAACACAATGTTTACAAGTCATGAATTTTTCAAAAAAGACTCATAGATGGGAAATTATAATCTCGATAGTTTGAAACGAAAGTTAATAAAAATAGTCAATATCACAATTATCGTCTTAAAGAAATTATTTAATTAACATAAATCTAATCTCGATTCACGCGAGTATAACGAATATACAAAAAAAAAAAAATGGATTTGCACGTTGATTACGAATCATTGATTAGAAATTAGAGAAAAAAGATTTTGTTAATCGTTGAAAAAATATTACATTTGTTGGAAAAGAAAGTCATTGAAAATATAAGTAGTTATTATAGTCAATTATTATCGAAACGTAATAACGTGCTTTAAATTGTACGAAATATATACATCATATTCTTTAATGCAAAAACGAAATAAAAATATAACGAACTTCGATCGTGTTTACTTTAACAAAACATGATGATATAATTTTAATGACTTTCCGCGTTTGATTTATCGAATTTCTATATAATTTCATTCGTCTCCAGTTTCTGTTAGCTTGTCCAGGCAATCGTACGATTTCGATTGAATAATATATCTGTAACATAAATATTTTCTGGTTTGTACATCGAAACATAAAATACAAATTCGTAGGAAAAATTGATGATTTCAAATCTGTTAGTTTTAAATCTATACTTTTAACTATTGAACAAATATTTTATAAAAACATTAGTCCAAAAGATGCAGTTAACGATAAATTATATCAATATTCAATCCATTTCAAATTATCTTACTAAATTAAATGCATCATTGTTAAAAGCATCAAATTTTTTCACTCAACAAACTTGCCCAAAGAAAAAAGATTTCAAAGAAGAAAGCAAAAGAATTTTAAGCAGAAAGCAATAGCAGTAGACGATTAAAAAAGCAAAGCACCAGAACTAACCCAAAGTTATAGATCATCAATATTCTTTATCGTCTGTGACCCAACCGTTTATGCGTCGGGTCTCTACGACCCACATGAAGAACCATCTTCCCAGCCTTGGCAGCTTTGAAAGTTTGCAACGCCTTCGCGTGTGTCAATCCATCCATCGATATCCCATTGATTGCTAAAATCTCATCTCCCACTTTTAAAGTTCCTTCTTCAGCCGCTTGTCCTCCGGCCATTATATCCTTCACGAAAATACCCATGGATCCTTTATTGCTATCTGATCCACCAACAATGGAAAAGCCCAATTTTTTCGAGGCACCCTTTTCCAAGGTGATAGTCAACAAATCCATCGACAAACTGGTAGCTCTACGTGGACAGGAAACTGTATTGGTGGATCGTTTCTTCACCACTTGAAACTTCCTCATACCAGTCATCTTTTGACCAGATTCCTTCTTCAAGATACGATCATTCTCGCATTCCATCTTCTCCATTGAATTCGTGGATAAATTCTTGCTATCCTTTATCAATGCACCGACTACCTTACACTGGGAAGAATCTTCTTCTCGAACGACATTATTCATGGGGACTTCCGGTTTCTCTTGTTTCAACGCCCACACCTCGGAGTCGCTACGAGTGCGGATCAGAATATCGCCCCACGTGTCGCCTATCTCTTCGCCAAAAGTGAACGTTGGCTCCCTAGCTATCTGAAGCTCTACCGTCCCTGAACAATTTTTCAAAGCATTCCTAGCCTCGATGAGCGACATCCCACGCAGTCTACGTCCGCAAACACGAACGATCTCGTCACCGATCCTGAATTGCTTCGACTTCGCCGCCTCTCCATTTACGTCCATCTTCGAAATCACGTAGAAAGGTCTAACAGCCTCTTTTCTTTCCAGGAAAATGCCAAGGCTGCCAGGCTTCTCCACGGACAACTTCATGGTCTTCAACTCGCGACGTACCAATGTCTTAGCTGGAGTTGAAATCGGCATTAGATGATCGATTTTAATCTCTGGCTCTGATTTCTTCATTTTATTCCTCGCATTTACAATCTCGGGACCTTCAGGTTCCAAATTCGAACGCGATCTCTTTGGACTGTAGTACTCCAACGGGCTGTTTACGATCGTCGAATATATTTTTGTCGCCGGTGGACTATCTTTGCAGGGAGATGAAGCATTCTCTAGTAAACACAAGGTGCTAGAATTGCTGTACCTTTTACATTTGACTGGTATCTGAGACTTGGTCTCCTTTTGTAAATTTTGCAATTTCACCGCTTGTAATAGTGATGTCGTATGCTCCGATTTTGCTAATCTTTTATCCGATATCCTGATGAGCTCTTTGCTTCCAGAAGATGTTCTTTGATCTAAATTTCCAGTCGACGACGCTGAGAATCCTCTTGATATTCCGCTATCATATTTTTCCAAAGTGTTCACGGTGGATTTTGTTTTCTCAACGGCACAATTCATTTGATACTCTGCGAATCCCTCGAACGTATCCTCGTCGCAGCTGTCTGTGTCTTCTTCATCCGATGGTACCGTGGTTGTGTTTGTTATTATCGTCCCGTTTAGCATAGTATTATTTACGACAGTGACTTCGAGACAAGACGGACCTGACTCGTTCTTCTCCGTTTCTGTTGTCACATCTTTCTTTAGGGGGGTAGTGACTGGTAGTGATAAGTCGATGCCGTGATAATCGTCCGATGTTATGGAAAAGCTACGGGGTTTTAACATCGGTGGACACTTCTCGCTATCTGGAGAATCAGCTCCAGCTCGTGTGCTGTCAGAGTCGTAGCCACTTTCATCGCAAGCTAACCGTAGGTTGCTCATTAGATCATCCAGGCCAAATGTTGGGAAAGATCTCTGATTATCAGGTCTGAAAATGAAAGAGAATTTTAAAAGAATGGTTCTAATGAATTCTATTATCTATATTCCATTATTTTTATGATAAAAACATTATACTTCTGTTTTAACAGTAAATGAATGTTTTTTCAAAAATAGATCTTGATTTTTCCATTTACTTAATCAACCCTTAAATGTATATTTCATTATTTAAAAGCATATTAGTAACATGTAAATAAAATAAGAATCTAAATGCATACATGTAAGTATATCTTTAATTTTAAAATCAACCAAGAAATGAAATCATGAAACAACTATCTCACCTGTCGCATTCACTGCTACTCGCACGAACATTGAACAAATTTTTCTTAATATTATTAAGTTGATTACTGAAAAAGTCTTTAGTCTGAGTAGAAACGCTGCTTTTGCCAGTCTCAGATGTAGATTGATTACTTCGTTTAGGACTCGTATTTCTTCGCTTAGGACTCGTACTTCTGATTTTGTCTAACGTTTCCTTCGCGAAAGCTGTTCCTTCCTGCGTTTTAAGCATATCCTGATTCTTCAAGATATAATCTAAAACACGTTGCTGCTCCTGAAGGTCCTGGATGCTACGACTCAGCTGTTTCTTCTTCTCCAGAAGAATCGTTCCACGGTCCGCTCGATTGTCATCCGAGCTGCCACCACAAAAAGATACATTCTTTATGGCGCCTTCGCTCAGAGCTTTCTCCATTGGATAATGACTGATACAGGTGACGTCCTCCTCTTGTATCGTCACGTTTCTTGCTGATATATCGCTGCTTCGCTCGCTGCTCCTGAACAAATTTCGTAACGATTCCACCCTGGAAATTCTCTTTGGCTTTGGTAATTCCGAGAAACCGCCGGTACCCTGAAATTAATAACAGATTTCTAAGGTTAAAATTGAAGAAAGATGTAAATAAATAATATATAGAATATAATTCTTAATAACAATACTTTTTTTTCTAACTATACTGTTTTGTTTTGTAATATTGGCTCTTGTATGTATACAATATAATCAAGGGGTTAACAGTATCTAAACGTATCTTAATATATTACAAACAGTATTACATGTCAGAATTAAAAATACTTAATATTATGAAAATAATAATTATATTTCTACAATATGAATACAAACCAATATAAATTTTGTCAAAAAATACCTGTTTGCATGTTTTTAATAATTGCAGAATTCAAAGAAAATCTGATATCAATTTATTTTGATTCTCCCTATATATATATTGCAATAATACAATAAAATATTAGGATTTCTGTAATAAAAATGTAATAAAATTTAAATATCAGGAAATTTCCTTCAAATTATTCTTCATAAGAAAAAAATAAGAATAATTCGACAAAAAAGGATTAATTGGTTAAGTGCTAATTATTTATTAGGTCAGGAAAGATGCATCGAGAGAATAAATGAGAAAGTAGCATACTTACGTTTTCTTTTTCGTCTGTTGTGCCAGCTTTCCGATTCGGACTCCACCTTCTCCTTCGGCCCGAAACCGAAAGCAATTCAGAGCTGTCTGATCTTTTCAGCTGATCCCATCTTCGACCTACTTTCCTGCCCCATGTCGAAATTCCTGTGACGTGAAACCAGACTCGATAATGTTAATTTTCACTCTACAATCGTATCGATCAATTTGAATCGTACGAGGAAAAATGATGAAAGTAACAAAATCTGTAATTTCTAAAAATTAAATTTTAATAATATATTGAATATATAATTGATAAAAATATATTTATACCATTTCTGTTAAACTAAATTTTCCACAATATTAGTAATACTATAATATCTTTAATAGAAACTCTATATCATCCATCTTAAATTTTTTTTAACGTTCCAGATTTTTCAGATTTAAGATTATTTATTGAAACATGATAAGAAAATATTATCATTTTTCCTAAATTTGTGAGTTTAATTTGTTACCTTTGCGATTTGAAATAGTAGATGAGGACGGTTTCAGTGTTTCATTCGCATTTTCTTTCACCAATGTCCGATTTAATCCATCGTTTTCATTATGAGGCTTCTTATTGCTACGTTCGAGATTTTCTTCTACCACTGTCAGAGGCGATGTTCCATCATGAGATAACGGTGTGGCCGAAACTAATTGAGGGCTTGTATCAGACGACTGACGCTTGAACAGACGCATCGCGATAGCCTGGAAAAAAGAAGTGGTGATACTGAGATTGACACATTGAAATAAATAGATATCACCCAATGAAACTCACTGTTCAGTTTTCTTTCACGTTTCTTTCAATTCATGAATCGTATCATATCTTTCTCAATGATTATTGTATTGGATATTTAACATAGCGAAAAGTATACATTGCAATATTGGAATTAACAAATATTTCTTGACAATTCAAAAGAAATGATATTTTTTTTTTTTTTTTTTTTACTATAAAATTGAATTAAGAAAAATACAAA